TGGTGTCAAAACAAACTTACAGACAGACAAAATTTCTAAAAGATATTGTTTTGACTTTTATCTATACATATAATAAAACTGTAGAGGTGGAATGTCTGTACATAGAAAAAAAAACGCTAGAAACCGAATAATATTTTTTTTAAATAAATTTTTTCGTTTCAACTGTCTGTTTGTTCGTTTGTACGGGCTAATCTTCGAAACTGTTGGACCGATTTAAATGAAATTTTGCATGGTGGTACCTTACATCCCAGGTCAATATTTTAGACATTTTTGATGACAGAAAATAAAGAGTTCCCGTGGGATAGTTAAAAAATTAAAAGTAACTTATACAGTTTAGTAGACGACCTACTTAAGTAAAGTCATTTTGACATAAGGCAAAGAGTGAGAACAACACGTCATTTGTTAATTTTGGTCCAGTATTGCCAGACATAATAAATAGGTAGGTATATATTATTATACTAAACAGGAATAACATATACCACGCGTCATACAGGGGGGGAAAGGGATTGTTAGTAATGGAGTTTGACAGCCCCATTGCTAGCAATATGTCCTATTAGGTCCACCTCCACGTGGTTCCCCCTGGCAACCATCGTGAATAATTCTTGTTGAATTCATCATGATGGGCTAACTGACCTGCTTCATCCTCACTTATCATCCTTCACTGGTGCCCCGCCGGCGTATACCCATAGCGTAGGTGGTGTTACCATTCCATTATCATCCATTAAAAAAAAACATATACTACGCGGTCAAAGTCGCGGGCATCAGCTAGTTGATTAATAAGTTAAGAACTTAATATCAGCTTCTCTTAAATATCTCCCATGTACAGATATTGTTTAGTTACATTTTTTTTTTATATTACTAACATATTTGTATGATTACTTCATATTACTAAGATATGTCATTCAAATCTGTACATAAAGCTTTATAGATATTAAACTCATTCACAACTTTAACCAATTTAGCAATAACAATGAAGTGCGCATTTTGTTCCCCCCTCCTACGTAACTTCACCAAGTTAGGGGAGCCCGCCTCCCTCCCTGTTGCCGTAGAGGGGGGTTAAGGGGAGAAGATTATATTTTAATGCAATAATTCTATGTGATCATACAGCGTTTACGAGTGCTCAGTACGGTGTGCATGAGATGGATATCGTCAGATAGATGTTTGGGTTGATATACGTGGCATTTAAAAAAAAAATATTTAAAAAGAAACAGCCATTTTAATTGTGATTTATAATTTAGGTGAAAAGGTAAAAAAGGTGTAAGAATTTTTAAAATTGTTTGAGTAGTTTATGAATTTATCTATTAAAAACCAATAAATAATAAAAATCTTTACTCTTTTTAATTAAAAAATAATATAAAAATTCAAACATATAAAAAGGCCGGCTGTCCAAGTTGCCAGCAATAGACAATAATTAGAAAATATTTGAATTTGGAATGTGGAATTGTCTGTCTGTAGCATACAAGTAATTTTTTTAGTTTCTTAGTTTCTTCATTTGTCAGTTTGAATCGTTACTAATTAAATATGGAATCAAATAGAACAGAAGTAAAACTTATCAATAAAACCCTATAAATATAAACATCGTTTCGAAGTGGCTAGTACAGTGTGAGTTATGTAAAGCTTTCAACTGTGTTTACATCGATAATGTGTAGTGAAAATTCAACAACGCCTCTAGTGGATAGTTGCGGAAACTCAGGTTGCACAAACTTATCGACATAAACGTGGACCCAGTCTTATACGTATTCACATGAATCTTCATAAATCTTTGTAAGTAAGAGGGAGACTTTATACGAAAGTCATTTGCTTGGGTACCTCTGCCCCATTCGTGTTTTTACCGTAAAGCAGTTGTGTTTGCATAGCTGTGTTTCGGTTTGAAGGGTGGGATATGGCGTGTATTTACTGGGTACAGAGGAATAACACCTGAGTCCTCAGGAATGTCAACGCATGGGGGGTATCATGGGCGAAACAATATACTCTGTTATGTCCATGGTACTGCTCATGTCTATAGGCGACGGTTACCACTTTCCATCAGGTGGGCCGTCAGCTCGTTTGCCATTCTAAGTTGTATAAAAAAATTTACAATTCGCACTAGCTTTTCTGTAGTTGCTGTAGAATTATCTTGAGACATACTCCCATGAACTTCGTCTCACGTGCGGTATACTCCCTCGTCGACACGGCAAAGATTAAATTTGGCCAAACCAGGCCCCATTTTATATCTAACGTACAGTAACGGAAACAGCTTGCTTCTGGAACGCTTCCATAATTCGAAATTTTTTAACGCAAACGCAAAATACGAGGTGGGTATTAAACTTACTAAAAACTTTTAAATGTGTAAATGTGATATTGTTGATTTTATATATATTATATATATATATATATATATATATATATATATATATATAGGGATTGACATGTTAAAAAAAACAATAATCCCAAATCAACAATAGATTTAAAAAGCTAATTAGCACTAACTTTACTAAATAAAATAAATAAATAAATAAACACTTTTTTTAAATTATGAATTTAGTAAAAAAAAAGACTCATAAAAAAAGAAAGAAGGGAAACCATCTTGCTGTATTCCAGGTGTATTCATCACAATGGGCTAACTGACCTGCCATTCCATTTTCACTTACCATCCGTCACTGGTGTCGTCCCGCCAGTGTATATTATTAGCGCAGACGGAGTTACCATTCCATTATCATGCATTAAAGAAAACCCTATCAGGTCGACCTCCACGTGGTTCCCTCTGGAAACCATTCTTGTTGAATTTGTCATACTGATCTATATTCGTCTTTATCTATCATTGCTCACTGGTGCCCCGCCAGTATATACTTATAGTGTAGGCGGGGTTAACATTCCATTTTCACTTATTAAAAAAAATATTTTCTCTATAGTAAAAAGGTTTGTTTTCAGGATTGACAAGACAATATTTTAATATAAATTTCAACGGTATTTTCCTCTGCGATCAGCACTTGTGACCGCCACTGTATTGCTACCGTAGAATAATATTCAATTATTAAAACAATAATCCTGCCTTACGCGCCTCCGGAGAGGAGCGCCATCTAGCCGCTTAGCGCGGTTAACTGCGCTTAGGGAATCTTCGCCAGCCAAATGAATACTTGAAGAAATATTTAATTTTAAACTTATATAGAGGTATCCAGAGGTGAAATGTGTTGTTGCATGTTTTATAATAAACCTCTTAAACAATGTACTTAAAATGGTCTTAGATAAATAACACCTACACAGTGGCAACATTTCAAAAAACAGCCTTATTTTTTTTAATGGCGCGCTTTCTACCAACTTCAGAAAGAAGGAGCTACTCAAATGGATTAGACTATATTACCAGAGGGAGACTTTGTACAAAAGTCGATTGCTTGGGTACCTCTATTCGTGTTTCAACCGTGAAGCAGTTGTGCTTGCATGGCTGTTTCCGTTTAAAGGGTGGGATATGGCGTGAATTTACAGGGTACAGAGGAATAACACCTGAGTCCTCAGTAATGGCAACGCATGGGGGGTATCATGGGCGAAACAGTATACTCTGTTATGTCTATGGCACTGCTCATGTCTATAGGTGACGGTTACCACTTTCCATCAGGTGGGCCGTCAGCTTGTTTGCCATTCTAAGTTGTATAAAAAAAATTTTTTTTTTACGTTTGTGACTTCGACATTTATGAACCAAAATGTAAAATTCTTTTTTTTTTATCTGAAAAGATATACTTACAGATATATCCCGTAGCAATCATCAGGAATCAAAATCTTTTTAGTAGTTTACTTTTTAAATGATAATAACTGGTTTGGACATGATTCAATTTAGTTTTTTTTTTTTATTTGTGAAACAAAATCATTAATTATTTTATTAATAGGATTGTAAGGTGTTAGTAAACCATACATTTATAATAACGGGGCAAGTGTAGAAAACCATTCTGTCCGCAGTCATTCTCAGAATAATTAAATATTGTACACGTAATCTCTCATCATCCGAAATTGTGTTGATATCTTTAATTGGCATATATTTTTTTATGCTATTCTGAATGTCAAACAAGTAGACGGTCCACCTGATGGAAAGTGGTAACTGTCGCCCGTAGACATGGACATACTCTCTTGCCCATTATAAATATCATGCGTTGCTATTCCTGAGCACTAAGGTTTTATGTTTTTGTACCCTATAATTTCATTGTCATAACGATTCTTCAAGCCGAAATACAGTCATATAAAAACAATTACTTCACGACAGAAACACGGATGGAATATAAAATTTTAGTTTGTTTCTTTATCATCATCTCAGCTATTATCTGTCCACTTCTGAACATAGGTTTCCCCCATAGACTACTATAAAGTTTGTTGCTAGATTTGAACTGACGACTATTGAGATTTTTAATCAGATCGATAAATTGTTGGGTCTTTATTTTTAATACGAATAATACTACTACTGCCATCTTCTGTCAAGTAGGCAACATACAGCAATTCTAAATTCTTAAAGTGCTACTATTAACCAACAGATGTCGCATAAACAAATCATTTTATTTGATCGTAATCTAAAAATATAGACTGAAAAGGTTTTGAAAACAATATTTTTTTTATATTATATTTATTTAACTCTTACAATTCAAACAAAGACATAAAATTATGAATTAAAGCAAAGTTAATGCAAAAAACAAAATTTGTAAATATGAAACATATGACTTTGACACTAGACATTGATACATACATTGCGGCCGATTCTGAGACGTTTATTTATAATCTTAATATTTTAATTTGATAATTATGCAAAATTACTACTTGATACATTATTATAAATTAAAATTATGAAATTTTAGATTTAAATTTATTAGAAAATTAATTAATATATTGAGTTATTTATTATAAGCTTTTACTGTGATATCAACATCAAATTTTAATTTTAGATGTATCGGTTAGAGAATTGACGTCTCAGAATCGACCTCATTGACAGTTTTTATTGACATTGCTCATTCCAGACAAATTATCTTTTTGAAGACTAGGCAGCATGGTCTCCGACCTTAGCCTGTTCCAAACGGAACAAACGTACTAAAAAAAAAAAAATTGACATTGCTCTCAAATATTTTTGACTTTGTATTTTTAAATTTAAATTCAAATTCTCGTAGCATTGATACGTACAATAAAATGTTTCTGTGATAAATCTACATAAAAATCACTATGGACCGACTATACGCGCTTGGTGTATCCTGTATAGAATTCATTCAATACTGGTCAGTAAGCATTATGTTCATAATTCACGTGTTATTCTTATCGATTTTTTAATTTGATTACAGCATTAAAGCCGACAAGGAAGGTCATACATTTTTAATAATAGTATAATTAATTGTTATTAAATATACTAAATAATATCTTAATAACGTCTCTCTGTCTACTCCAGGCGAGATTTTAGTGTAAAGATAAATAATTTTAAAAAGAAAATTTTAAAAATAAAGAGAGCCGGCCAAATTTAAATGGCATTGGGCGGATCATATTAGTCGTGTGAGTCCCGATAGGTGGGTTAAGATCTTCACCCAATGGGTGCTTACTGATGAACAGTGTCGCCGAAGTCAGCCTATGAAGCTGTGAGGATAGACACATTTAAAAGGGGCTGGTTTGAGGTGCTGTTGAATAGGAAGTTTTGGAAGGAGATAGAGGAGACTTTTGCCCAGCTTAAGAGTTTTTTAAAATTGGTCCGATGAAAATTTCATTAAAATTATTTCAGTAGTTTAATTAATCAAAATAACATTATTATTTGAACATTTTGTAGAACAAAATCTGATACCTATATTCTTTTTTGGAATTACAAACACGAGCAATGTTTTTTATTATCTACAGGTTTGAGGATTCGGAGGGATTTTTTGAGCTTGTAAATGACCTGTCAAATCCGCATCATGTGCTGGAAATACTGTTTCCCGTGGTATCCGTTGTGGACTCTGTGTTTGGAGCACAGCTGTTACTCTGCATGGCTTTTGGGAGCTGGTTGAATTCTGTTATGAAATGGTAAGTGTAATGTAATAAAGACAGTGCATGCAAGAAAAATATTTAATAAATTATTTTTATACCACTGAGGTGGCAAACCAATGTACAACCCACCCGATGGTAAGCGGTTACCGTAGCCTATGAACACCTGCAATACCAGAGGTATTATGCGCGCGTTGTCGACTCTGAAGAAACCTCTTTACCCCCCTTTTTTATCTTTACCAATACCAATACTTTACCCAATTTAATAGAAGACTGTGTTTATTCTTTTTAACTGACTTCAAAAAGAAGGTTCTCCATTCGGTTGCATTTCTTTTTTATGTTCTCTATCTCATATTTACATTAGTTTTAAACTGATTTGGATTTTTTTTTAATCTAAAAAGTTGTATTTATAGATGTATGTGTGGTCTCGTAGATATTTTATCAATATAACTTCAGTAGTTTTTAAATCGAAACAACTGGTTTTGTCCAGAATTAAAGTATAGAATTAGTTTTTTTTTGTGGGACTTTATCTTAGATGTTTTGGATCTTTAATTATTTAAACAAATAAATATAGGATTTGTTGTGCATAGCCTACCAACTTTAATAGATCATATAATTTTTTTTTTTGATGGGTGAAAATGGTATAGTAACCCCGTCTGCGCTAACGGGATACACTGGCCGAGCACCAGTGAAGGGTGATAGATGAGAATGAAAACAGGTCAGTTAGTCCATCATGATGAATTCATCAGGAATTAACCATGATAGTTTCCAGGGGGAACCGTGAGGAGGTGGACCTGGTTGGGCATATTGCTAGCAATGGGATTCTGTCTTCATTACTAACAATCCCTATCCCCTGGATCATGTACATATTAAAGATAGGATAATAAATAGAGGTTTATTTAATGGATCATAGTGGAATGGTAGATTCGCCTGCCCTAACGCTATACGCTGGCGGGACACCATTGAGGGATGATAAGTGAGAATGAACAGGCAGGTCAGTTAGCCTATAGTCATGAATACATTTGGAATTATAACACTTGAAACACGATGGTTTCCAAGATGGCCACGAGGAGATCGACTTGACAGAGTATGGGACCGGTAGTTCACATTACTTACAATACCATTCTTCCAATACAAGTAAGTTAGCCTATCAGGCTAAATCACTTGAGTTCATCCTCATTCGTCATCCGATATTGGTGCCCCACCAGCATATACAGACTGCGTAGGCGGGGTCACTATTCCATTGTAATACTTTAAAAACATCAGTGATTCCTCACTGATACCCTGCAAGTGTACACCAATAACAGGTGGGCTTACCATTCTATTGTCATCTCATATAAACAGGTGGCTACTGGAAGACCGTCCGTACTGGTGGGTCCGAGAGACTAGTTTCTACACCGGGCCGCGGCCGCAGCTCCGGCAGTCGCGGCACACGTGTGAGACGGGCCCCGGCTGCCCCTCTGGTCACACGGCCACCACCGCCACCATCCTCATACTCCTAATCATGTGGATATCTCACATTATGAATGACAGGTACTATTTCATATAAATTTTGTAAAAAAAACTGGTTTACCTAATAAACTTTACAGCTGTCCTCTACTGCCATCTAGCGGGCCCATTTTCAACTGATTTCAAAACTGATTGTTTTTTTTTTGTTTGTTACCTCTTAACTCTGTCAGTTGTAAACCGATTTGGAAAATTCTTTTTTTTTAATGGGTGAAAATGGAATTGTAACCCCGCCTGCGCTATCGGTACACGCTGGCGGGACACCAGTGAGGGATGATAGGTGAGGATGAAAAGACAGGTCAGTTAGTCCATCGTGACAAATTTCACTAAAATTATTATTCCTTTTTAAAAGGCCGGCAGCACACCTGCAATGCTGTAGGTGTTGTGGGTGACCGTGGGCGGCGGTAGTCACTTACCATCAGGTTAGCCGCATCCTCGTTTGCCCCCTGTTGTAAAAAAAAAAATTAACCTTGACGGTTTTCAGGGGGAACCGTGTGGAGATCGACCTGGTTGAGTATATTGCCAGCAATAGGGCCCTTAGTCTTCATTATTAATAATCCCTCCCCCCTCAACAGGCACTGGTTAAAGACCTTCATCTTCAAACTTTGAGATATAATATGTACTTTGTTAATACTGTGGTCTCCAGAAAGTGCTACGTCTGGTGGTGGAAGTATGTGGTGTACCCTGTGTTCGCTTGCGCGCTCGGCTCGGTGATGCTCGCGCGCATGTTCGTCGCCACGCACTTCCCGCACCAGTGTCTGCTGGGCGCGTTAGTCGGTGAGTACCAAATGTTCTGGGCTAACATATTTGTCTGGGGGGGACAGGGATTGTTAGTAGTGGGATCCAACAGACCCATTACTAGCAATATACCCTAACAGGTCGACCTCCACGCGGTTCCCCCTGGAAACCATCGTGGTTAATTTTTGATGAATTCATCACGATGGGCTAACTGACCTGCCTTTTCATCCTCACCAATCATCCCTCACTGGTGCCCCGCCAGCGTATATCGTTAGCGCAGGTGACCATTTCATTTTCATCCATTAAAAAAAAATTGTTTTATCAGAGGGAGATTTTGTACAAAAGTCATTTGCTTGGGTACCTCTGTCCCATTCATGTTTCAACCATGAAGCAGTTGTGTTTGCATGGCTGTGTTTCGGTTGAAGGGTGGGATATGGCATTGAATTTATAGGGTACAGAGGATTAACACCTGAGTCCTCATGAATGGCAATGCATGGGGTGTATCATGTGCGAAACAGTATACTCTGTTATGTCCATGGTACTGCTCATGTCTATAGGCAACAGTTAGTATTTTCCATCAGGTGTGCCGTCAGCTTGTTCTTCTAAAATGTTTTTGAAGTCGTTTGAAAATGAGCTCTATTACTTATCCCCGTCGGTCTACATTCCAGGTTCATTCCTGGCCCCCGCGCTGTGTATTTACGTGTCCGACCCGTTTATCTGGCGGTATGGGCTACACGCTCGGCTGCCGGCGGCCCGCGCGGTCGCCTGGCATATCTTCAGCGCTGCCGTGACAGTCGCCATCGCTGCTGTCACCTACCTCAGCCTCACGCTCTGCGGCTGGGATCCACACTGGACCGTTAAACTAGTCAGTGAATTTCATCAGTTCAACTTGAAATTACCCAGTGAGCTGTGGAGAGGGCTATGCTTGGATTCTTTGCATGATAGAATCCGAAATGAGGATATCTGAACCAAAGTGACTGACATAGCCCAGAGGATTTTTTTTAATTAGTGATAATGGTATGGTAACCCCGTCTGCGCTATTGGTATACACTGGCAGGGTACCAGTGAGGGATGACAGATGAAGATGAAAGTAGGTCAGTTAGCCTACCCTGACGAATTAAACTGGAATTAGTCACGATGGTTTCCAGGGGGAACCACATGGAGGTCGACCTGACATGGTATATTGCTAGTAATGGGGCTATTTGACCCCATTACTAACAATCCTATTCACTCCATACCCAGAGGATTAGCAAGCTGAAGTGGCAATAGGTTGGAAACATAGCTGGAAAATTTGAAACCGATGAGGATAAAATGTTTTTGAGTGCGGGTCATAAGGGCAAACATAGTGCAGGGGGGAGAAAGGGATTGTTAGTAATGGAGACTGAGAATCCCATTGCTAGCAATATATCTAACCAGGTCGACCTCCTCGCAGTTCCCCCTGGAAACTATCATGGTTAATTCCTGATGAATTCATCATGATGGGCTAACTGGCCTGTTTTCATTCTCATCTATCACCCTTCACTGGTGCTCCGCCAGCGTATCCCGTGAGCGCAGGCGGAGTTATCATACCATTTTCACCCATCAAAAAAAAAACATAGTGTAGGACGACATTTGTGTCTATGTATTTTTTTATGCAACTTAGAATGGCAAACAAGCTGACGGACCACCTGATGGAAAGAAGTAACCGTCGCCTATAGACGTGATCAGTACCATGGACATAACAGAGTATACTGTTTCGCTCATGATACCCCCCATGCGTTGTCATTCCTTAGGAGTCCAGTGTTATTCCTCTGTACCCTGTAAATTCACTGCCATATCCCCCCTTTCAAACTGTAACACAGCCATGCAAACACAACTGCTTCACGGTTGAAACACGAATGGGACAGATATGCCCAAGCAAACGACTTTTGTACAAAATCTCCCTCTGGTATGTATGTATATTATACTCGTATTAAATATGATATAATTAGCTATGTATAAACTTTAGTTTTTTTTAATTTGAAAATTGTCACTTTATTATACTCTGCTCTACCCATTGACTCTGATGCTCCTTTCCACTTTGGGTGTTGCTGGAAGAGAACTCTTGTAGAGTAAAGCTCTCCTTTGTACATTTACTTCTGTCATATTTTTATCAGTGTGTATAATAAAGTATAAATAAATTTGCAGGCATTCCGCTGGTGTGAATCTCCAGATGATATCCACGTGTCAACGACCCCCATGTACTCCCTCGTGCAGTCCACGTCGGCGCTGCTGGGCTGGGCGCTCTGCGTCACCCCAGCCGTGGCACAGTGAGTGATTCCTCATATCCTTGCTAATATCAAAAACTAAAGCTAACTGACCTGCTATTTCATTCTCACCTATCATCCCTCGCTGGTGCCCCGCCAGCGTATATCGTTAGCGTAGGCGGAATTACCATTCCATTATGATCTATTAACCCTTTTAGTGCCATTGATTTTTACTCATGTCTACTTAAAAATGCCAAAGAAATCTTTGTCATGTTGATGCTATTTACCCTTGTCTCTAAAAAAACTGTATCTCCTCCAAAAATTATCCAATTTTAATATTTTTTTTTTACAGCAAGCTAAATAGCGACTGATTTCACGAGCGCTATGACGCTCGTGGCACTTTTAGTTGCAAAGCTCACGAGGGCGATGGCGCTCGTCGGCACTCGAAGGGTTAAAAAAAAATCAAGCCCAGTTATATTTTGAATGGCTGTAAAAGTCGTTTTATGAGTTTTCGAGATTAATTCTATTGACATTTCTTTTTCAGGTATCGCCACGATACTAAAAATAGATCCTTGACAATTTCGGCCTTCACCACCGGCCTGATAGTGTACGCAATACGCCACTTCCAAGACAATATATGCAAATCCGACGCATTGTGGTTTTATGCTATGCACTTTCTCGTAGGCGCTTTGAAGCCGGCGCTACTTTTAAGATTAGTTCCAGCGGTCTCTATGTGGCCTTTCTCAAAGCCGATCAAGCAGAAAGTAGCGTAATTAGAAGAAGATAATAATAAAGAGAATAGAATTCCTTTTTTGAATTTTTTTTTTTATTAAATTGTTCGTTAAGCAAAATTCGACTGGCCATAACGCCTTGCGTAACGCAGTTAAGAAAAAAAAGTATCACAAATAAAAAAAAAACTTTTTTTCAATTATGTAAGTTTTGTATAATGCTTATTATGTAAAACAATCGTTGACTGGCCACATTGTCTATGTCGAACAGGCTAAGCAAAAAAAAAAAAAATTGCTTAAAATATTATATTAGAAAAAAAAAAGAAAATTAGAATTCTTTTATCAAATTAGGTAACTTTTTTATAAAATAATATTTATTTCGCTATCAGAGTACTTTTTTAATACTCAGAAATATTGTAAATTGTTATTTTTTTTAATTTTATGACAACACTGCAAAGGAATAGATGAATGTAAATAGGTAATTTATTGAATTAGTCAATTATTTAAGATTGTTCAAAGCTGTGATAATTCTGTTTGTGAATTTATATTTTATTTGTTTACTTGAAAAGCGTACACCAAAAACTGGATAGCTATGCGTCATCCATTTTAAATGTTTATAAATAATAAACACCATTTTAAAATAAACATTGTTTTATTTCGTGTAAAATAGTTGTAGAAGTCTTAATATGGAGGAAAAGGGATTGTTTACTAACAAAATAATATTTTGTTTACTAAGTAATAAATTTTCTAATTCCCTTTACTATGGGGATTAGAAAATCTATTACTAGCAATATACTCTACGGTCGACCTTCTCGCGGTTTCCCCTGGGAACCGTCGTGATTGATGCATTAGTGAATTTCGTTACGATGGGCTAACTGACCATTTTTTATATCACTGAGGTGGCAAACAAGTATACGGCCCACCTGATGGTAGGCGGTTACCGTAGTCTATGAATGCCTGCAGTACCAGGGGTATTACGTGTGCGTTGTCCACCCTGAAGAAACCTCTTCCTCCCCACCCCCCTTGAAGAACCTCATGCTGTAGCATGACCTGCTTCATCTTCACTTATCATCCCTCACTGGTGCCCCGCCAGTGTATGCCGACACCGCAGGCGGGTAACTATTCTGTTGTTATCCATTAAAAAAAAATTAATACAAGTTATTTGGAAAAGATGCATGAAAGAAGAATTACGAAAGAGATTTATCGAGCTAAGATATCGAAGAAGATAAGAGATTTAGATATAAATTTGACGTTCATAAGCGGCTAAAATGTCCTACATGAATAAATGATTTTTGAATTTGAATTTGAATTTGAGCACGAATGAATGGAGATGTCGGTAGGGGCCGCCCTAGACGGACGTATGTCGACCAAATAGGCGACGTGCTGAAGAAGGGCCGAATTAAAAGTACCCGTAACCGGCGAGCGTGTATGAAAAGATTGATGAATGTGGAAGGAGCGAAAGAGGTTTGTTTGAATCGAAGCATTTGGCGTTCCATTGTTTCTGCCTACCCTAATGGGAGACAGGCGTGACAGATATGTATGTATGTATAGATTTATTTTTATTTTTCAAATGTCTTTTTTCAAATATTATTTTTACCAGAGGGAGACTGTACAAAAGTCGTTTGCTTGAGTACCTCTGTCCCATTCGTGTTCCTACCGTGAAGCAGTTGTGTTTGCATGGCTGTGCTTCGCTTTGAAGAGTGAGATATGGCAGTGAATTTATAGGGTGCAGAGGAATAACACCTGAGTCCTCAGGAATGTCAACGCGTGGGGGGTATCATGGGCGAAACAGTATACTCTGTTATGTCCATGCTACTGCTCATGTCTATAGGCGACGGTTACCGGTTATTGCTCGTGCAAAATTTCATGAAAATCAGTAAAGCCGTTTCGGAGGAGTTTGGTAACAAACACCGTGACACGAGAATTTTATATATTAGATTATTGTTATTGATTGTTCTCTATTTAGTTCAAAATAAAAGAAACAGTAGGCCGACGTCCAGGCGGTAATAACTCTGGGCATACTCTATTCATCTTTCTCTTTCCAATGATCGTTGTCTCTTTCGCACGTTTCACGTTACTCTCCATCAGTTGTATGTTGTACTGCTCTTCGAGAAGTTTCTCGAAGGCACTCAAAATGGCGGCTGTTGAGGTTTCCTCTTCTGTGATCGATTGAAGCTTAACAGCGACGACTGCACAGTTTTCTGATGTCAGCTGTTAAAATGTTTAATAATTAAGTTATACTAACGACCCTCCCCGTCTAAGAGTTTGGGGGGGGGGGGGAAGGTAAAGATAAAGATAAATTTATTTGCAAACATGTGTACATAGTAAGTGCAAAGACATACTTGTTGTACATTGTAGGATTTGTATAGTCCTAACATGTTTTGCTAACATTAGCGTGCAAAATATTATTTCAAGGACAGTGGCAATTTCAAGTTATTGTTAACAATGGAGTTTGACTGCCCCATTGCTAGCAATATGTCCTATTAGGTCCACCTCCACGTGGTTCTCCCTGGAAACCGTCGTGAACAATTCTTGTTGAATTCGTCACGATGGACTAACTGACCTGCTTCATCCTCACCTATCATCCTTCACTGGTGCCCCGCCGGTGTATACCGATAGCGCGGGTGGTGTTACCATTCCATTATCACCCATTAAAAAAAAACATTATTAAATAGATAGATAGATAAACTTTTTATTTGAGCCATTTATGACACACGTAAATTTACAAATGAGTTTACCTCAGCACCAGTGAGGGGTGACAGGTGATGACGAAAGCAAGTCCGTTAGCCCATCGTGACGAATTACACTAGAATTAACCATAATAGTTTCCAGGGGGAACAGCGTGGAGGTCGACTTGACAGGATGTATTGCTAGTAATGGAGAAATTAGACCCCATTGCTAACAATCCCTTTCCTTCCGCGTGAATAAGTTTACCATAATGTACATTTCTACAACCTACCAGTCTTGGGGGGAAAGAGATTGTTAGTGATGGAGACAGAATCCCGAAAACGTCGAAACTATCATGGTTAATTCCTGATGAATTCATCATGATGGGCTAACTGGCCTGTTTTCATTCTCATCTATCACCCTTCACTGGTGCTCCACCAACGTATCCCGTTAGCGCAGGCGGGGTTACCATACCATTTTCACCCATCAAAAAAAACCTACCAGTCTTTCAGGCAAATTATTAGATTGTTGCTAGGAGTGTTAACCGCTCGGCGCTCAAACTGCAAATATTTGCAAAATGTGCGTGAACAAAATGGCAGTCGGCGATTGTAAGTTAATATGGAAGGCTGTAGAAGTTTCTCACTTATACTGAGTAATATATATTACCTACTCTTAAGTCTTAGTCAGTGAAGCTGTCGATTAACATTGACTTGATATTAATTACCTTGTGGACGACATATTTGAATTTGTCCAACTCATTCCTCGTTAATGGCTCGCAGAAGCTTCTAGACGCGAGCCAGCTGTAATTAGATCTGTATACACGCCTTCTTTCATTCAGTCTAGAATATCTCAATATGGATTCCACCTAGAAACATTTTTTTAAAACATTACTTGCAGTACTTAAGATTTTTTTAATGGAAGACTGTTAAAGTATAAAGTTTATTTGAATAAACTTCCAAAAATATTAATACATTGTTCATGAGTGGTAATACTATATATAGTAGTTGACTCGGCAAACGTTGTTTTACCATATACATTATTTCGAGAACTATACATGAAAATTTATCATACTACAATTATTATATTCGATCGCCATCTTGCAACCCTATTGCGGCATATAAAAATCGCGATTAACAAACAGAAGTTGAACGTGACACCGTGACACGAGAATTTTATATATTAGATATATAGCCACCATATAAATAAATACTTTTCACAATATATAAAGAAATTAACAAAAAAAAATCCCGTAAATACATTGAAGGCTCATAATAAATCAACAATCACACTCACGTATTTCAACAAGTCCGTAGACGTGTAAAACTTTTCTGTGTTCAAAACGGGTTTTTCGAAAAACATTTCTTAATTTTATATAAATACCAATGTGTAGAATTATCTCTTATTATAAATATATGCGTAATTAATATTATAGATATTTTTTAGTTATTAATATATATTTATTTATTATTTATTTACACTAGTATTTTTTAATAATATATAACCTATAAAACTTCTAGTTTGAATTTTGTAAGTAAACAAAAATATATATCGAAACTAATAACTATATATTGACCTTAGATATCGGTTTTATCATTACATTTGTCATATTTTATCTATATTAACATATTATCTGTATGATAACTTGAAATGGGTTTGTCTGTCCGTACAAGCGTGACAATAACATTCTATTTTTTTTTTAAGGGTGAAAATGGTATGGTAACCCCGCCTGCGCTAACGGGATACGCTGGTGAAGGGTGATAGATGAGAATGAAAACAGGCCAGTTAGCCCATCATGAAGAATTCATTACGAATTAACCATGATAGTTTCCAGGGAGAACCGCGAGGAGGTCGACCTGGTTGGGTATATTGCTAGCAATGGGGTTCTCAGTCCCCATTACTAACAATCCCTTTCCCCCCAATAACATTCTATTAGCCGTCAATTGTGCACTGCTAAACACAGACCTCCCTCATAAGGGGGGGTCTTGCCAGTAGTTGCCATAGTTGGCAGGTGGGTCCGCAACCGCAGCTAGCCTTTGGTGTTTAGCTAACCATTATAGTTCCTTAGTCGCCTCTTATGACGCCCACGGGAAAGAAAGGTGTGGCATATTCTATGCTGGGTCCACACGGCAATATTTCTACCGTTATATATATATATGTATGTATGTATTATTTAGAACATATTTTATACTAGCGATCCGACCCGGCTTCGCACGAGTAGACAGTTTTCGAAAATAATCAAAAAAGTTTCAGCCAATTCAACTAACCGATTAATTTATAACATTTTATATGTGATTCTTTAGATTGATATAACTTTTTTATTTATGAACCGATTGAAATAAAACAAACACTCAATGTTAAGTGGAGCAAACCGCAACGCAATAATGGAAACCGCAATCGGATCGGTTAAACCGTTTCTGAGATTAGCGCCCACAAAGGTATAGTCAAACAGATAAAAAATTTAAAAGTCTTTGTTTTGAGTTTTGTTGCGTTCATATAATAGTTTTTCTTATATGTCTTCCATGTATAGACAGGGACCAGTTACGATTTTATTATATGTATGTATTGAATAAATTTAAATACATAAGAATGCGTAGTCAGAAATACAATCTTTAGTTTTCTCTATGTATTTATCTATGACAGAGTAGAGTACAAACCATAGATTAATACAGTTCTCTAAAGGGCATCATACACTATCATTTAAAATCTATTACAATAAATTTTTAAAGTATACAATAAAGTATTTTAAATAATAAACATTGCCGTGGTATAAACATAGTTGCTATATTTATTAAGCGATAACTTTCAAGTGGCAGTTAATGTTTATCTCATTTGATTTATCTTATATTATGTGTTTACTTTATATTAATACTGATAGCTTATATATATATGGTACCTCTGTCCCATTCGTGTTTCTACCGTGAAGCAGTTATGTAATTTTAAAGATTTAAGCATCTGAGCCGCGCAGGTACTATCTATGAGTAAGGTAGGTACCCACCTTACTCATAGATCTAAACTTCCCTCCCGCACGCGCACCCCGCCTTGGTGACGCTCACTTCGCAACGGGCCATGCATTGCTTGGGTACCTCTGTCCCATTTGTGTTTCTACCGTGAAGCAGTTGTATTTGCATGGCTGTGTTTCGCTTTGAAGGGTGGGATATGGCGTTTTTTTATACAACTTAGAATGGCAAACAAGCTGACAGCCCACCTGATGGAAAGTGGTAACCGTCGCCTATAGATATGAGCAGTACCATGGACATAACAGTGTATACTGTTTCGCCCATGATACCCCCCATGCGTTGCCATTCCTGAGGACTCAGATGTTATTCCTCTGTACCCTGTAAATTCACGCCATATCCCCACCCTTCAAACCGAAACACAGCCATGCAAACACAACTGCTTCACGGTTGAAACACGAATGGGACAACCTTAGTCCTCAGGAATGGCAACACGAAGGGGGCGAGGTGTTATGGGCCATATAATATATTCTGCTATGTCCATGGTATTGCTCATGTCTATAGGCGACGGTTACCATTTTAAATCAGGCGGGCTGTCAGCTTGAGTGCCATTCGAAATTGCATGAAAGAAGAATTAGAAAAATAATACAATTTTTTTTTTTTATTTATTGTGTCCGACTTGCGCCATCTATCTTTCTCTCTGTACTTATCTACTATGTAGTATTATTATTAAGGCTACATTTTGTACATTACATTCTGTATAAATATTCCTTGTATATTTATCTATTATTGTATATATATCCTTGTTTATATACGCAATAAAGAGTTTATTATTATTATTAAATAGTTAATCTAAAAATAGTAATTTATGGTATTTAAACGTTTTAAGGACGAGACACTAATTGCTATAAAATCCGAATGTATTTACTCTGTTTCATTTAGTAAACTGGTATATAAGTAAGTTTAACAAGAAATCAACGAATATTCATTTGTACGGAGTTTTTATTTTAATTAATGGAAACATATATGTTGAATCTGGTTGTAGCGAAGATAAAGATGCAGGAAGATTTTAATGAGCATTGGTAAAATGGATCGTACATATTTTTCAATACAAGCCATTATGCAAGATGGCGCCATTTTTTTTTATTTTTTTAAATAAAAATACGTCAACACGATCTTTACTATTGAATTTTTTTTTTGTAGGTGTCTATGTTTAGGACTGTAATTAAATGCTTGATTGATCGCATAAAGATGAATCAAGCATTTAATTGCAGATGCAGATAAGATGTATAAAAAAATGTTGGTTATATTCAGTATTGGATGTTTGCTACGGATATAACCTGCCCGACATTCATATCGGACAACTAGCAAGGTCAATGGCGGCGCGGATGGCTGCACCGCAGATGTCCTGAGTGTGAAAAAAGTAAAAACTGACGTAGTTGACATTTCCCGCCAAAAATAAGACATTTTTTATTTTCTTGCTTAAACGGCAAAGGATTTCATGCTTAAGGTTATTTTTTTTTAGTAAGGAATATTTATACTTTATAAAACTGCTGGTAACTAAAATGGTGGCATAACAATGAAAATTTAATCAATACTTCAATAAATTTTTACATTGTTTAGAATACATTATAATTTCTAAATTATAATTAATATACATATATATATATATATATATATATATATATATATATATTATATTCTATTCATAAACAACAAAAAAAAAAAAGTAAAAGACAATAACTACTTTATCGATTCGTACTGGTAACACAGGAAAAAATTTTAAAATACTTCAACAAAAAGTCAATTTTAAATTATTACATAATATTGACAATTGTTAATTTTTTTTTAATATTGACAAATAATTGCAATGTTGCTACACTACAATATGCTAAAGTTATAAATGCTCACGGGATACCAATGAGGGATCCACCGGTAATTTGTATAGAATACAAATTTATAAAAAAAATCTAGTAATGGAAATCAACAGTAAACAGACGGCCAGACATATACAGACATATATAATTTATATTTTAAGTTTAGTACTATATTTTATTTTGGTTAATTATTTAAATAAATAAATTATATAACAGTAAGGATATATTTTTTTTTTATTTATTACAGTAATGATTGACCGTGTAGTTCCGGCATAGAATAAGCCATCCCTTTCTTTCCCGTGGGTGTCATAAGAGGCGACTACGGGAACTTCATGACAAAGGGATGGGCAGCAGCGTCCCTCTTGAAACATTTCTAAAAGCCTAATTGCGGTTTTTTTTATGGGTGAAAATGGTATGGTAACCCCGCCTGCGCTAACGGGATATGCTGGCGGAGCACCAGTGAAGGGTGATAGATGAGAATGAAAACAGGCCAGTTAGCCCATCATGATGAATTCATCAGGAATTAACCATTATAGTTTCCAGGGGGAACCGCGAGGAGGTCGACCTGGTTGGGTATATTGCTAGCAATGGGATTCTCAGTCTCCATTCCTAACAATCCCTTTCCCCCCCGCCTAATTGCGGTTGCCAACCCACCAGCCAAGCGTGACAACTACTGCCAAAATTGCTCTTATGAGGAAGGATTACGTTCAGTAGTGGACAGTTAAAGGTTAAATAAAAAAAAAATGACAATAACAATATTGGTCAAAATGGCGCTCGACATATTTTGCCATTCCAGTGTCGTCGTAGGATGCAGGCGAACCGCTTATTATCGTTTGTTATTTCTCACGATCGTGTTTCCATACGAGACGGTGTTCTGATATAGTCAATTTATGGTACTTAAAAATAACCTGACAGATTTATTACTTACTCTGTGACAAGTGACAAAATAAAAAAAAAATAAGAAAAATAATGATACACTTTTGGCGGTAAATCATTGTTTATTGCGAGTAGGTAAGATGTTGGTACTTGAATCGTTTATTTTACTTATTTTGTTTGGAAAAGGCGGTAAGAGGCTTTTGTTTGGCGATGTAATATATAAATATATAAAAATATTTTTTAATTAAGTAAATTTAATTATAAGCATTTTTAGTAGTCACTTTTTTATGAATTTATCTTTCAATTCGGAATATAATTTAAAACTGAGAATAACGTGCAGGAAACTCAGCTATTACTTTTTTCAAATAAAAGTTGAGTTTACAACAAAAAAAGGAATAGATAAAATAATTATCATAAAATTCATATTGATAAAAAAAGACAATAATAAACCAGTATTTTTAAACAAACTGGTACCTACTAGAAGCACCCGTTCACGAGAATGACGGATAAACCAGACATATCGTCATAGTCGTAGAATACTGACGGATCTTTATATGTAATCTTTGTCAGATCCGTCAGTATTCCAAGACTATGACGATATATTTATATATTCATATATTTATGTATGTATTATTTATCTGCGTTTATATATGTGTATGTGTATACATATATTTATTTACATTGTTTAAACTGAGTTTACATTTACCTTTAGCCCCTTTTTTCCCTTTTTTAGTATCATTATTTTTCTGTTACGCCTTGACCAGACACTATTTTAATCATTCCTTTCCATCCTAAGGTTGCCTGGAAGAGATCGCTATTTAGCGATAAGGCCGCCCATTGTTGCCTCTTTATCTTGCTTTTATGTAATTAATTAAACATTTTGTTTGTGCGCATATTGTTATTCTTTATAATCTGTATCATTCTTTGAAAGAACCAATAAAGAGATTTTCGTTCATCATTGTCTTCAACCATCGCGAAATGATCCGGCCTACAACGCCGGTATCAATTTGGACATTATAATGAGCTTGACTTGTTTCAAAATACGCAATTACGTGCAAAGTATCGATACCAACTTGAATGTGACAATCAGTACACCCATTCATTACAAAATAAAAAAAAAAAAAAAACTATTAAAAATGTTTACAATTAAATTTATTCTCATTCTCAAAAGGAAGACATATTACGCCGAATAGCAGAATGAGGTAAGATATGAAAACTTGCCAATATAGTTTTTTCGGGGCTAATTTTATTAGTCTTCCACTTGCAATGCCGTTATTAAAAAAAAATGTGTATAAAAATTTTGTTTCCAGAGCCATTAAAGTTAATTTTTTTTATATAACTTAGAATAGCAAACAAGCTAACAAACATGAAGCATGAGCAGTACCATGGACATAACAGAGTACACTGTTTCGCCCATGATACCTCCCATGCGTTGCCATTCCTGAGGACTCAGATGTTCTTCCTCTGTACCCAGTAAATTCACTGCCATATCCAATCATTCAAAGCGAAACACAGCCATGCAAACACAACTGCTTCACGGTAGAAACACCCAAGCAATCATTTTCTTTACTGTGTCTTTTTGTGTATTTTGTACAAGTACAGAAACATTGTCCAGAATTAGTTTTTAACAAACAACAATTAAAAAAATACAGTAACTTTATTTCTCATTTATAATAATAGTAGGAATTCTGCATTTTATTGAATAAAGACGAAATTTATTTAGAAAACCTAACTTTGAGTTGGCAACACTGATTGCGGAACAATTAAAAAAAAAACATCCAATCAACATTGGCGGGGAATTTAAACGCCGAACAGTAAATTGCTATATTATTTATCAATAAAAATATGTGGTATCACATTACTGGAATTAAGCAGATGTCAACTCTCAATAAATAAGAAGAGAAATGGCGGGAATTGTCGGTACAGGCCCACTGAAAGGGCAAGGTGAGGTGAAAATTGCGGAACATTCTAGACTAATTGGTTTTTATGATCTCGCCGCCGGTATGGCGAGATGGGTGGGATTGTTACTTATTACTTACACTGGTTATTTGCTTGCTTCTTTGTATGTGTGGTTTTAGAATCGGAATTTAATGAAGTAGGCGAATATTAAACACCGTATCTGGATAAAAAAATACAACAAATTGTAAATTAGATTTTCAGGAACAGCTGTACAAACCGCATATAATTTAGTGTAGTAGTTGAACAAACGTACAGTCAGTCAAAATTTCTATAAATTATTGTTTTAGCATTTATTGGTCTCATTAAGACCTTTCATATAAATTTTTCTTAAATATCTCCCATGTATGGACAACATCTATTACGATTCATCATCATACCAGCTTTTAATTGTCCACTGCTAAACATAAGCTTCCCCCTTGGCGGGGTGGAGGGGGGGGGGGGTTCCAGTAGTTGCCACGCTTGGTATGTGGATTAGCAACCGCAGTTAAGCGTTAGAGATGCTCTAAGAGGGACGCTGCTGTCCATCCTTCGCCCTCCCTTAGTCGCCTCTTACGACACCCATGAGAAAGAAAGGAGTGGTCTATTCTATGCCGGGACCACATAGACAGTTATACGATTGCCATGTTATACGAATAAAAATGAACGTATTAAAATTTAGGGCTACATTTGAGGATAGGATGAGAGTTAATAAAATATAAGGAGCTAGATAAAATGTTAAAGTGCCTAAACTACCTTAGAATGAGTAAGTTGGCAACACTTCAATTTATTTTGGCAAAATTATTGGATATTTTTTTTGATGGGTGAAAATAGAATGGTATATTGCCGAAGATTAAGCGTTGACAGAATTATATTTTTATTATCGATACATAAACAAAACTGGCATGCAACAATGAAAAAATCAAGCAACGTATTCGAAAATTAAAAAATAAACAATTAATTAAAATTATTCACGTACCTACCTGCCCATCGCTGCGTGTTGACAGCACAAGAATTTAATTCATTCTAAAACATGGCTATATGAATAAATATACAGGTAGAACGGACACTTTCGTGAATTTAATAACAATATATACTTTGGTGTTCTGACAGCTCGTGTTCTGTTAAACAACAGTTAGGGCTCGCAAGCATACACTACACATACACATACACGCTGTATCTCTTTCACTCGCACGTGTGTCGAGTGAGACGTAGAATTTGCAGGTGCGAATAAATTTATGAAAATCCTCTTACTTATGTGGGGCCTGAAGGGTAGAAGAATGCCAAACGTTGGCTGCTAGAGAGTGTAACATCTCACTAAGTCCTACCTTTGCACTACAATTTACTGATTTAATGGTACATTTTTTAAATATCATAACGCTTATAAACAAGCATATAGTCCGTCTGATAACAAACGGTTACTGTAGCCTATGTATGTAGATGCGCCTGCAACATGGGGAGGGGGGTTGTTACGTACATGTTGTCAACCCTAGAGAGGGAGAGGGGTAAGGGATTTTTAGTAATGCGGACTACCAGTCCTATTGCTAGCAATATACCCTGTCAGATTGACCACGTGGTCCCCCTTAGAAACCATTGTACTGAATTCCAGTTTTCGTTACGATGGACTAATTGACCTGCCTTCTTATGCTTAGCTATCATCCCTCACTGGTGCCCCGCAAGCGTCTACAGCGGGGTTTCCATTCCAATATTATCCATTAAAAAAATACCAGAGGAATGTTAATACGCACCTTTTGAAGAAAATTATATTTAAGTTGCTATGAAACTTATTTAAATACAATCTTCTTCAGAATCATAAAAAATAACGTTTTAAAAGAGTCTATTTAATATCAACTTTTTTTGTTGCATTGTCGCATTTACGAAATATGTACGTATATACGAATGCCACTTCCACCCAGAATATTCTATACACACAACACGGCCTTGCGCTACCAAATCGATGTTAATTTATTCGATTACAATGCATCGTTACCGATACCTATTTACTGTCTTATTCGATTACTTGAGCAATATCGACTGACGGATAGCCGATGTCGGTTTTAATTTGTACCAAACTTATCCTGTTTGTTTTTTTGTACTTTTCCTTAACAGCAATCCTCATTGTCACAATAAAATTGTATCTAGACATTGTAGAAGGTAGATATTTAAGATAAAAATAATATGTCCGGTGTTTTTTTTTATGGGTGATAATGAAATCGCACTATCGATGTACACCAATACACCATAAAAGGCAGGTTAGTTAGCCTACCGTGATGAGTTCACTTGGAATAGAACACTATAGTTTCCAGGGGGAACCGCGAGGAGGTCGACCTGACAGGACGTATTGCTAACAATGGAGCTACTAATCCCCATTTTTAATAATCAAAAACTGTTGCACTAAATTGACTGCGGTGGAAGTGGTCATTGGTTTTTCCACTTTCATTTGTATTCCATATTCAACGATTTAAAAAAAGAATTTGTCAGTTATATCTGTTTAGTATGAGATATTAAAAAAAATACATAAATTTACAAAGTCTGTACTTTATTTACAATTTACATTTTTTTACACATTTAACATCGGCATAGATGGAAAAGTAAATGACTAAACAATTGTAAATACAAGAAAATGATGATTTAAAAGAAGAATGAAAAAAATTCTGTACAAATTTTAATTATTTTATTAAAAAAAAATGGTTCTTTATCTATGCCGATTTGTCAATACGCTTTCGACTTGAACAAATTGAAACACGACTTATTTACATATAGTTTTACAAATATGGCAGTGTCGAACACAATTCACGTTAACATTTCGTAAAATCCAGACTTTCTAGCAATGAAGATGGCACAATAACAAATTGAAACTAACAGAATGCAATTCTGCCTTTTCTAATCACGAAGGAGTAAGAGAGATGAATGTATATTTGAAAATAATTCATCAGGAGAGTTCTAAATATTTGGTACCATAGTATTCGTGAGATCGGTTCCAATTAAAGTTCAGATATCAGAAAGTCTAGAGTCGACGAACGTTTTTTTTTAATCCTATATCCATAGACATGAATTGTTTTTCTTTTCACCAACAGTACGGGTAGTTGGGGCAAAGGGCTGGGTTGAAGTCGGCAGGGTAGCGAGCGGCAGCGCTGGCTGGGTTGTTGGGGCTGTAAAAGAAAAAAAATATAACATATATGCTGTATGGGTCATGATCTTTGCTTGTCCATATTGGATGATTTTAAAACATCAACAATATATTTATATGTTTATTAAACAAAATAAATAACGTATTTTCTTTATAAAAAAAAATGTTTTTTTTTATACAACTTAGAATGGCAAACAAGCTGACGGCCCACCTGATGTAAAGTGGTAACCGTCACCTATAGACATGAGCAGTACCATGGACATTACAGAGTATAGTGTTTCGCCCATGATACCTCCCATGCGTTGCCATTCCTGAGGACTCGGGTGTTATTCCTCTGTACCCTGTAAATTCACGCCATATCCCACCCTTCAAACAGAAACACAGCCATGCAAATACAACTGCTTCACGGTTGAAACACGAATGGGACAGAGGTACCCAGGCAATCGACTTTTGTACAAAGTCTCCCTCTCCTAAAGGGTAGTCTCCCCTAAAGGGTACAGAGGAATAAAACCTGAGTCCTCAGGAATGGCAACGCATGGGGGGTATCATGGGCGAAACAGTATACTCTGTTATGTCCATGGTACTGCTCATGTCTATAGGCGACGGTTGCCACTTTCCATCAGGTGGGTCGTCAGCTTGTTTGTCATTCTAAGCAGTATAAAAAAAAATTAAATACATATCAATTTGTATTTTAACAAACATTATACATAGGAAACATTTAAATTAGGGGGGAGGGGAGGGATTGTTAATAATTTGAACTACCAGTCCCGTTGCTAGCAATATACCCTATCAGGTCGACCTCCAAATGGTTTCCCTGGAAACCACCAAAACCTGTGACACTGCGACCTTTCCATGATGTTTCGTGCTCGCCCTTTTTTTAAAGTTCGCTTCTAATTCCTATCGCTGATAGGAATTTTAAATTGCTTTTTAGTAGCGATGTTTTTTATCACCTCAAAGTATAGAGTGTGTATTCCAAAGGAGATATATCGTTTATGTATGAGAGGGCTAAAGCGACACATTCAGTGCTGCGGCGTTTCTTCCTCATTGTGACAAAATCTGCAACTATTTTTTAGGCCTAATCGAGGTCACACTGACCGGGTATATATTTTGTTGAATTATGTGTTGTTTTAAGGAAATCCGTATCATTGATTTAGTTTAATCATTAGAATCAATTTGTTTGTTACCGCTACCATTAGTATGCGTGCTACTGTTCACCATGTTGAAGATATATTTATTGATATTTCCTCAGTACATGTTGGTAGGTATACGCATACTAATTGTAACGGAATTAAACATGTTCATTTATCGATTACGTACATTTTTACCTTCAAAATTTTTTTTTTGGTACAACTTAGAATGGCAAACAAGCTGACGGCCCACCTGATGGAAAGTGGTAACCGTCGCCTATAGACATGAGCTGTGCCATGGACATAACAGAGTATACTGTTTTGCCCATGATACCCCCCATGCGTTGCCATTCCTGAGTACTCAGATGTTATTCCTCTGTACCCTGTAAATTCACGCCATATCCCACCCTTCAAACCGAAACACAGCCATGCAAACACAACTGCTTCACGGTTGAAACACGAATGGGAATTTATTCTTTACTGATTTATTTAAATTCTTAAATGACTCAAATACTTTACTTTATATAGTGGAATTCTTACTTACATAATTTATTACAGTAAATAGAAAGTAACTAACTAATACGTAATAATGTGTTAATCACAAAAAAAAAAAATAATGATCAGTCGTACTCATGATCCGTACCCGACCCGAAGTCCCCATGACACTTGCGGCGTTTCCACTTTGGATTGCCAGAGATATCCTTTGAGTCAGATACGAACCGGAACGGCGATCATGGCCCCTATCTCTTTCGCAATGCGCAGACTCAACTCTCTTATAAAAGATTTTGCTTCCGCTCCCCACACGCCCGTAGTTTTTATTCATTTATTTAAATTTTGTCGACTAATACAATGTGGTACAAAAGACGGATTTTATATAGGCATTCTTTATCATTTAACCTTCCCTTCCCGAGAGTGTCGTAAGAGGCGTCAAGGAGGAATCAAGGGGAGAATTATGGGCAGCAGCGTCCCTCTTAAAACATCTCCAAAGCCTAACTGCGGTTGCCAATCTACTTGCCAAGCACGGCGAATATTGGCAAAGCTCTCCTTCTTGAGGAGGCAACGACAAGTTGATATGATGATGATGATAATAAACAGCGCCATCTAGTTCTAAAGTGGAGAAACTAACTACGGCTGTCAACTTACTCAGAAGGGGCGACTGGTAGAATGCCAGGGTTGTAGATCCATTCAGGGATGGGCGTCCCGTCAGGGGTGAATCGAGCGAGGGTATTCGTATCACAGTATGGGTAGTTGGGGCAGATTGCTGGGTGTACGCCGGCTGGGTACTCGCGGGCTAGCGCTACCACCGCCACGGCGCAAAGGATGAACTAAAAAAAAAACAACATCTTATCTTACGTATATATTTTTAAAATTTTGTCTGTTTCAAATGTATAATAAATGTAGGTTTTTTTTATTTTTTTTTTATACGACTTAGAATGGCAAACAAGCTGACGGCCCACCTGATGGAAAGTGGTAACCGTCGCCTATAGACACGAGCAGTACCATGGACATAACAGAGCCCATGATACCCCCCATGCGTTGCCATTGCTGAGGACTCAGGTGTTATTCCTCTGTACCCTGTAAATTCACGCCATATCCCACCTTTCAAACCGAAACACAGCCATGTAAACACAACTGTTTCACGGTTGAAACACGAATGGAACAGAGGTACCCAAGCAATCGACTTTTGTACAATGTCTCCCTCTGGTACCTAAACACTATTCTTTTTATTACTTCAGCCGTTAAATGTCCACTGCTGGACATGTGTTCCCCATAAGGGGAGTTTTGCCAGTAGTTGCCACGCTTAGCAGGCGGTTTGCCAACCGCAGTTAGGCTTTTAGAGATATTTCAAGAGGGACGCCGTTGCCTATCCCTCGTCCTCCCTTAGTCGCCTCTTACGACACCCACGGCAAAGATAGGAGCGATCCATTCTATGCCGGAACACATACGCACTTAAAAACTTACTTTAATACATAATTACCAATAATGATCTATGTGTCTATAGGCGACGGTTACCACTTTCCATCAGGTGGGCCGTCAGCGTGTTTGCCATTCTAAGTTGTATATAAAAAAAGAAAATCTACTCCTCTGAGCCATCAACTAAACTAAAAAAAAAAAAAAATAATAACCGTTTAAATTTACTTACAAATTTACTTGATACGAGCAATCAAGTAAATTTGCCCAATAGTTTTGCAACTGCATGCTTTGCTTGCACCAGCCAACGCCTTTGTTATGCCCTATTAATCTAATTAAAAACTGAACGTGAAATTTCTTCAAAACAATTTAGTTTTCAATTAGAAATTGTCACGCGAAAAGGTATCACTTTCTTAATTCTTCACATTTTATTTCTTGTATCGTATGTTATTTTTTTTATACTATACAAAAGTGGTAAACAAGTATACAGCTCGTTTGATGGTAAACGGTCACTGTAGCCTATGGACGCCTGCAACACTAGGGGGTGTCACGTGGGCGTTGTCAACCCTGAAGAAATCTTAATATGCCCTTCTTGAAGAACCCATATTATAATGATGCCTACGGCCACTTTCTATCATCGTACGGCTCGCCATCGACAGGGAGTTCACCCTCATGTCCTACAGCCTCAATGGTCGCGTACAACGCGGTTTCAGAGATGTTTCCTCCCACTAACACTCAGGTTATGGAATGAGCTCCCTGCCGAGGTTTTCCCAAGAGACTACAGCATGGGGTTCTTCAAAAGGGGGGTAAAGAGGTTTCTTCAGGGTCGGCAACGCGCGCGTAATACCTCTGGTATTGCAGGCGTTCATAGGCTACGGTAACCGCTTACCATCAAGTGGGCCGTATGCTTGTTTGCCACCTCAGTGGTATAAAAAAAAAGTCTCTGGGGAAAACCTCGGCAATGAGCGGGAGAAAATTCCTTTTATAAACTTTTCCTTTGATGTGATTTCTTCGCCGATTAAGACCAATTTTTATAGTTCGTTTTGTAGAGGATAAAGTTCTTATGTTTGTTTAAATTTTTATTACTATGAAATAACAAACAACGCTAAATACCTTCTATGTCTTGTGACTTTGTCTGCGTTAAAATTTTGAATGTATTGATATAATATATACATAAATATGAAAGAGGGTTCCAATTGTTTCATTGATCGCTATTACTATGCACATTTGATCTTTGAATCTAAAAATTTTAAATTTTGTAGATATGCTCTTTAAATAACGTAAGGAAACAATAAGGAAAGAATTTTAAAATTCAACCTTTAAGAATGTAAAACTTTCAAAATATACGCGTACGAAGACGCGGGCAAAAGGTAGTAAATATTATAAAGGTATGTAAGTCTATTATATTTATTTATTTATTTAACTCTTTATCGCACCATAAATAAAAATATACAATGACAAGTGAATAATTCAAGTGAAATACAGTAACGTAAATACAGATTGAAATATACCCATAAAGGTACAAAAGGCGGTCTTATCGCTAGGGCAATCTCTTACAGACAACCTTTGGTTAAAGGAGAACAGATAGAATATTATATAATAATGTTAATCAAGATTAGTTCTTATCTTTGTACCAAATTTTATTAAAATCGGTTCAGCCATTTCGCCATGTTTCAATATCAAACATACAAATAGCTTTTCGTGATATTCTATTGTCGTCATCATCATCATATCACCCATTATTTGTCCACTGCTGGACATAAGCCTCCCTCTATTGGGGGGATTTGCCAGTAGTCGTCACGCTTGGCAGACGGGTTGACAACCGCAGTTAGGACTTGGTGATGTTTTAAGAGGGACGCTGCTGTCCATCCCTCGACTGTCAAGTTCCCTTAATCCCTTCTTACGACACACTCAGGAAAATAAGTGGTGGCTTATTCTATACCGGGACCACACGGCGAATATTCTACTATGAAACACATATTTTTTTTATATAACATAGAATGGCAAACAAGCTGACGGCCCACCTGATGGAAAGTGGTCACCGTCGCCTATAGACATGAGCAGTACCGTGGACATAACAGAGTACACTGTTCCGCCCATGATACCCCCATGCGTTGCCATTCCTGAGTACTCAGATGTTATTCCTCTGTACCCTGTAAATTCACGCCACATCGCACCCTTCAAACCGAAACACAGCCATGCAGACACAACTGCTTCACGGTAGAAACACGAATGGGACAGAGGTACATAAGCAATTTTATTTAACATATTATACTAAATTTACGTAAATTTATTAAATTTGAAAATTTGCAAATATATTTGAATTTCACTCACTATTATATATTTATTTATTATAATACATTCATATACATAATACAGAGTTGTTACAATGTTCTTATGTAGAGTGACATGAAACCTTGTTTGGGTGTAGCAAAATTATATTAATAGGTAGCTAATATACGTGTATTAATGTCAGATTAGATATCAGATTATGTTTAATTACTAGCGGCCCGTCCCGGCGTCGCACGGGTGGACATTCTTACATTTAAAAAAGTGGCCATTAAGGCTGCACACGCGATGGAAGCTTAAAAGTGAAGTAACTTCTCCCGTTTTCCCAACATTTCCCTTCACTGCTCTGCTCCTATTGATCAATAGCGTGATGAAAAATGTATCTTTTTCAGTTTCGTAAGTTTACCATAAAGGTGAAGATATTTGAATAAAATTTGGTACATGTTTCATCGTAATTCACGCGGGTAAAGCCGCGATTTACGACTAGTTTCAAATAGTAATAATTTACACAATGAAAATTTCATTCCTACGTCACTGCTACCTGCGTTTATAAATACTTAATGACATATAATTATGTAAATATATAATGTATTACAAATTGTCGCAGGCAGTGCGTGCTATTCAAATTGGAATTCCTATCACGCCTGTATGTTTGTTTGTATGTCATAATTACACCCACGTAACCTTGCCACCCACTGTTTTGTGCGTTTATTGTTTCATTTAACTTATTGTTAAGACACATCGGTTCAGCAGTTAAAGTGCTAGTTCCTTATTGGAAACTAATATTAACAGTTGTAACACTTCAGCTGTCCGCTAACGAAATGCTTTCTTACTGTACTGGGTTGACTGGAAGAGATCTCTGTCAGAGATAAGTCCACCCTTGCTCACAACATTTATAAATACATTATTTTATATGTAACTTACAAGTGCAATAAAGAATATATATAATAGTAAGATTACTAAGAGATTTAAATAAATGTGACAAAAGGGTGTAAAAAAAAAATAATAAAAAAAATTACGAGTCTGTATGGATACATGTTTGTCACTCTTTCACGCAAACACTACTGAACGTTTTCGAATGAAACTCGGTACACTGATAGGTTATATTGTAGCTTAACAATTATATAATGAAATTGATATATATATAAAATAATGATGATAGTGTATACGTAATTTAGATTTTAGCCGCAAATAAATTAGTTTGCAAATAATTGCATTATATACTTTAAAATGTGTATATTTTAAAGTAAATAATATTTAGTATGTAGGAGTACATGAAAGGTGGTAATGACGATGATGCTGTCCCTCTTTAAACATCACCAAAGCCTAACTGCAGTTGCCAACCCCCTTGCCAAGCATGGCAACTACTGGCAAAACCCTCTTCTGGGGAAGACCTACATTTAGCAGCGGATGGTAGACGGTTGATATGATATGACATGATATTGTATACATACGTATATATGATAAATAATAAGACACCGAACGCTACTGTCTCGTTCTAACTCACGCGTACAGCAGCGAGAACGTGTCTATCGACAAATTTGTGTTCCACTTGTGGCATAGATAGCAAATGTATTATTGTGCACATTGATAAACTTGATAAATTTTATAATGCCATTTTTTTTAATAAAAAAAGAAGAAATTCATGCGGGTAAAAAATGGAAAAACGGTTTTTTTCTAATATATCGTATTAGGGGAAGGGATTGTTGGTAATGGAGAGGTTAATCCTCATTGCTATCAATATACTTTATCAGGTCGACCTCTACGCGGTTCCCCCTGAAAACTATCCTGACAAGTTTATCGTTGAATTCGTCACGATAGGCTGACTGACCTGCCTTTTCATCCTCACCAATCATCCCTCACTGGTGCCCCGCCAGTGTATACTGATAGCGCTGGCGGGGTCACCATTCCCTCAAAATTTTTAATTTTTACTAGTTTACATTTTTATTTATTTAAACTTTAATCAACAGTAAAACTCTATTTAAATTTGGCGGACTTAACACCGGACGGCGTTCTCTACCAGTCAACCATTGGGCGAACAGAGAAATACGTAGGCGGTGCATTATTGAATTAAAAAAAAATAAAGCAATACTTAATACATTATCTTTGAAATATATATCGTGAAAATGGTATGGTAACCCCGCCTGCGCTAACGGGATACGCTGGCGGAGCACCAGTGAAGGCTGATAGATGAGAATGAAAACAGGCCAGTTAGCCCATCATGATGAATTCATCAGGAATTAACCATGATAGTTTCCAGGGGGAATCGCGAGGAGGTCGACCTGGTTAGGTATATTGCTAGCAATGGAATTCTCAGTCTCCATTACTAACAATCCCTTTCCCCCCGAGCGAATTTGATTGACATTTCGTACGCGGATAGATTATTTTCCTAATTTAACACAGGATTTATATATTGGTTATACGCGAGAAAAACCACAGGAATAGGCTAGTGAATGATATAAACTCACCAGTTTGGCGTACATTGTGTGTGTTTGTGTGTATCCTCTCAACGCTGCTGTGAGACTGATGACAATTTGGTGTACGCGATCGTTTTTATATGTAGCGAGGTGCGCGTACGCACGATTGTCACTGATATGATAGCCCGTTGTTATGGTAACGACGCCCTTACTGGTCCCGACGAGTTTGTCGTAGAGGTATTTTTACATATAATAAAATTGTAACTAGAACGTGTCTGTGCGTATGAAATAATTAAGACTAGTCCCTGGTTCGAGACTAGGATAGGTATTATCTATAAGTTTTTTTTTTAAATAAAATACCGTCTGTCTTATTCACTGATAATGAACCGATACGACAACATAACCTTCAAAAAAGAGCATATTCCTTTTTAAAAGGCCGGCAGCACACCTGCAATGCCGTTGGTGTTGTGGGTGATCATGGGCGGCGGTAGTCATTTACCACCAGGTGAGCCGTATGCTCGTTTGCCCCGTGTTGTAAAAAAAATAATAATGTAGCTTCCTATAGTTGAAAGAATTATTAATATAAAAAGTTATTAGGTGAAGAGGAAGAAGGTAGGAATGTAAAAAGACAGTAAAAGCAATAAATACAAGACAGCAGAAGAAAAAGTAGAAACATAGAACAATGGTATTAGAGTAAAAAAAAGAAACTTCGAAATTTCACAAAATTAATACTTTTAATAGATTAATTATCATCATCATCATCATCATATCAGCGTTCAGCAGGGGACAGTTATCCCCTGCTGAACGCAAATCTTATATTTGCACACATCAAATCATATGCAGTGTGGCCCATGCATAAAATGGTCCACTCCTTACTTTTAATAATTTTTCAATTTAGAACAATTTTTAAATTTGAGAACATGTTTTCTGATACAATATAACTTTTTGTCAGTTAATTTGACAATAGGGGGGGGGGGGAAGGGATTTTTAGTAATGGAGAGGCCCTATTGCTAGCAATATACCTAACTAGGTTGACCTCCCTGTGGTCCCTGGAAGACATCGTGCTGAATTCTAAGTATATTCGTCACTATGGACTAACTGACCTGCTTTTTTCATTCTTATCTATCATCCTAGTGTATACCGATAGCGCAGGTGGGGTTACAATTCCATTAGCATCCATTAAAAAAAGTTTACAATTAGCTGACAAACAGTCGATCCGTTTTTGAGACTCGATGCTCTATCTATATAATTCAAGAATGCTATATATATGTATATATATATGCTATCAATCTAAGTAAATAAGTTAATATCTATTATGTATATTGTATTAATTAATTATAAAATACGCGTCAGGTTCTATTAAACAAGAATATGATATTTCTGTCAATGGTCTTGTGAACCGGTGAAGCGTTAAGGTAACGTTAACTAACGCATAATTGGCAAGTTACAGGTACGAATATTAGTTAAGAATGGATCTACGGTATTCCAGAATGTTTTTTATGCGATATAGAACGGTAAACAAGTTAATTAGCCGCCTGATAGTGGCAAACTAAATGGCCATGCCTGACGACTATTTTTTTTAATGGATGATAATGGAATGGTAAACCCCGCCTGCGCTAATGGTATACGCTGGCGGGACACCAGTGAGGGATGATAGGTGAGAATGAAAAGGCAGGTTAGTTAGCCTATTGTGATGAATACACCTGGAAATCAGCACGATAGTTTTCAGGGAGGACCACGTGGAAGTCGACCTGACAGGGTATATTGCTAGCAATGGGACTGGTAATCTGCATTACTAACAATCTTTACCCCCCCCCCCCCCTTAATTATAAGACAAGAGTTGGACATGACAGTACAATTAAATGGTCTGCGCGGAGGTCGATTTGGTTGGGTATATTACTAGCAATGGGTTTCTCAATCTCCATTACTAACAATCCCTTTCCCCCAAGGCAGGTCAGTTAGTCAATCATGATAAATACACCTGAAATTCAGGGGAAACACGTGGATGTCGACTTAACAGAGTATATTGCTAGCAATGGGACTAGTAGTCGCATTACTAACAATTCCTGCCCCCCCCCCCTCCTGACGTTTACCATTACCTAAGTACGATCGTAGAGCATGAAGCAGGTCAGTTAGCCCATCGTGACGAACTCAACAAGAATTGTTCACGATGGGCTGTCAAACCCGTTGCGACACAAACCCTTTCTCCCCTAGTGTAAGTATTTAGTCATAAATTAGTAGAATTTGACGTTCACTTCTGCTAGAAGATGTGTTATTTACCTTCAAAAAACACTTTTAACTTCTTTTTAAAACTATTATACATAAACGGAATTTTTTATATGTTTAGGTAATCTATTTTTTTTTTAATATGTGATAATGAAATGGTAACCCCACCTGCGCTATCGGTATATGCTGGCGGGGCACCAGTGAAAGATGATAGATGACGATAAAACAGATCAGTTGGCCCAAATTGATTTTTTTTACAACTTAGAATGGCAAACAAGCTGACGGTCCACCTGATGGAAAGTGGTAACCGTCGCCTATAGACATGAGCAGTACCATGAGCATAACAGAGTTATATTTCGCCCATGATACCCCCCATGCGTTATCTTTCCTGAGGATTCAGGTGTTATTCCTCTGTACCTTGTAAATTCACTGTCATATCCCACCTTTCAAACCGAAACACAGCCATGCAAACACAATTGCTTCACGGTAGACACATGAATGAGACAGGGGTGACCAATCAAACGACTTTTGTACAAAGTCTCCCTCTGGTGAAATTAATACAAGAATGAGATTTGCTTGGGTAAACGACTTTGGTACAAAGTCTCTCTTTGGTAAATTTATAAAGAAATAACCAAGATGGTTTCCAGGGGGAACCGCGTGGAGGTCGACCTGATAGGGTATATTGTTAGCAATGTGGCTCTTTAATCCCTATTACTAACAATCCCTTTCTCCCTTAGGTAATCGAATTGAATCAATTTATTTTTTATTTAATTATTTATTTCATTTATGACCACAAACTTGAGTGGTAGCGGAATTAAATAAAATAATTTCTATTAAATAACCAGAGAGCCTACCATGAAATGTTTTCCGAAATTTCGGATCCGAACGAAACAAAAATTTAATGTTAAAATTACTTGATATAATATTAAAAATGCTAAAGTATCGTTCCTTTTTACTTTTATGGTAGGATTTATGACAAATGAAATGTTAGGCTCCATTTATAGGGTCGATTTTGGTACGAACAAAAACACGAAATTGAGTCCGAAATTTCGGAATTTCATTTCATGGTAGACCACCAGTAATATGGATTACTGCAAAATGACACCTAGTTTAGTACATTATTCTTAAATCATACAAAAATACATAGTGATATTTTAATTAATTAATTAGTTATTTTTAATTAAGATTAAAACCAACACCGCTATCCACTATATACTAACTATATTGCTGTCTCACTCTTAATTTATGTTATATTAATTACACAATAATTTGCAGTCATTCAAAACTTTACTTTTATTTTTTAATTTATTATGTGATAGAAATATTAAACTCTGGAAATTATGACCTACTTTTTTATATACCATAGGGAGACTTTGTACAAGAGTCGTTTGCTTGGCCACCTCTGTCCTATTCGTGTTTCTACTGTGAAGCAATTGTGTTTGCATGGCTGTGTTTCGGTTTGAAAGGTGGGATTGAAGGTGGGGACCTTAATCCTCGGGAATGGTAACGCATGGGGGGTATCATGGGCGAAACAGTATACTCTGTTATGTCCATGGTACAGCTCATGTCTATAGATGACGGTGGGCCGTCAGCTTGTTTGCCATTCTAAGTTGTATAAAAAAAAATAACTGACGCAGTTATGAGGTAATAAATTAAATTAACTGAACCGATTTGAGAGCCACCTTTTTCAACGTCGGTCGACAAGCAATCGAAACGACATGGATACTGTATCGATTTTAACGATGTCTTATTCATCGAATCGATTTAAAATCGATTTATTGTTCATTTTTACGTTTTTTTTTTTTATTGTCACACTTGAATGTGATGCCCTTTCAATGCCGGAAGCCCATATTTGGTGCATCGTAATTGATAACATATTTTATTGAGAGCATTGCTTATTTTAATACGCATAAGGACTATTTTAGTATGGCAAAACGATCGCCTAGACAGAGTTTTTTCAACCGACTTCAAAAGAAGTGTATTCTCAATTTGGTTGTATATTTTTTTTATTACGTTTGTTACTTCATAACACCGTCTTTTCTAAACCGATATGGAAAACATTTTTTTTTATCTGAACTTCGGTTCTGAATCCTGAATCGGTTTAGTAGTTTTGTCACAATTGAAGTTTTTTTTTTAACTTTAATTAAAATTTTTAGTGGATGAGAATGGAATGGTAACCCCGCCTTTAATATTTTTTTTATACAACTTAGAATGTCAAACAAGCTGATGGCCTTCCTGATGGAAAGTGGTAACCGTCGCCTATAGACATGAGCAGTACCATGGACATAACAGAGTATACTGTTTCGCCCATGATACTCCCCATGCGTTGCCATTCCTGAGGACTCGGGTGTTATTCCTCTGTACCCAGTATACGTTGGCGATACCTGTGAGGAATGATAGGTGAGGATGAAAGCAGGTCTGTTGGCCAATCGTGACGAATTCCACAAGTATCTACCACGATAGGAGGAGGAGGAATCGCGTGGAGGTCAACCTGATTGAGCGTATTGGGTTACCGTTTCATTTTCACCCATTAAAAAAAAATACTTCGCGATACCATTCCTGAGAATTATGCCTTCATACCTTGTAAATGAATTAAATTAATATATTATTGGCCTTTTAGCACTTTGACGGTTTAGCCAATCCCTTTGAAATTTGCTATACAAATATTATGTGGGATGGAGAAGAACATGGCCTTTCTATGCCGGTTAGTAAACATATTCCGGTCACACAGACAAAGTCACGGGTAAAAGCTAGTATTTACTATTGGAAACTTTTTGTTGTATTAAAAAAAAATAAGTAATAAAAAAAAGTTGTGATTGTAGGATTTGAAGCAGGAGTTACGAATATTACTGTGCTCAGTTGTATATCTAATTGAGCACAGTACTACTCGATTTACATTCGTTTTTATTTCAATTAAAGTATATATTTTATTGGTGAATGCTT